TGTTCTGTCAATAAACGATAAAGCCCAAAAACCTACACAGAGGAAGATAACTTTAAGACACGCAGTTATTGGACAAAAACAAAATGTGTGTTAGGTTTTTTAAGTGGTCCACCCTCTCACAGAAGGAAACATAAACGCAGTAATCCTGGATGTAAAGTTGGACTACAGAACACAAAAATAGACACAAAAAGGGACAATGTAAGAAAATCAATGTTAAGTTAGGTTGAGAGTTTTCTTTATTTCCATATACATAAAATATTTATGATCAAATGTCAATCCTAGTGGGGGCGGGTCCTGGCTCAAAAGTGGCAAAATGACGTGCGCTGACATACTTGCAATAAGAATTTGGAATAAGAATTAGCCAATGCTAACATATAGCATCTTCTTACCTCTCGAAAACACCTTTACATGATGGTCCAAAAGTTGGCTCTTGGCCCAAAGCTCCGTTCCACATGTGTGTCAATGCTGAGGGGAGTGAATTTTTTTGGACCACTCTAGCTTAGTTGCTGTGAATTTTTTAAGTCACTCGTTTAAATGAATGGGGCTCGTGCCGGCTTGCGAATGTGCAGATGCGTTTTTTCACATTTCCAGCCCCCGCGGCCATTTTGAATCACTCCATGAAAGCCCAATTTTTGGCTCATTAGTTAGAACGGCGGAGATAGACGTGACTACGTCCGTTATTATATACAGTCTATGGTCACTCCCTAGCATTTTCTAGAAAATCATTCATTTACGATTACTTATTACAATATTGCACACGATTCAAACTTGAAAAATAATGTATTTCGCCCTCTCTCAAACCACTCAGCCAATCAGCCTTTAGAATGTTTCAGTACAATTGGAAAAATACAGCAGAGCAGATTGTAGTCTCTAATAATCATGATTTCATTTTTCAAAACAAGCGATATATGGTCTGATCATATAGCGAGATCCAGGTGACGTTGATAATGTAAAAACAAGCACAAACACGCACACACACACACACAAACACGCACACACACATACCCACCACATATACATGAACACATACTGTACATATACTCACACCCACACCTTATACCTTATTATGTCGCACTACCGGGTCTCAAACCAGCTAAACTACATCAAAACCTCTTGTACGGCTCTACACAAGAACTTATACAACTTCACGCAAAGGAAAGTGTAATTTCACATTTTACATTCAATTGAATAATCAGTGGCTTTGTGAGCAGACGGCTGTAACAGGGCCAAGGACTTAGAAGTGCCTTTCTATGGAACCTCCGTGGCGCAGACTGTGAGGGGTGTGAAAGGAGCAAACAGTTGGAACTTGGGGAGAGCTCTGTATACTATCTGCTCTGTCTGGTGTACATTGGAGCAGTCTTTCACATCCACGTAGTCTACTGCAAATGGCAAATAAATGAATCTGAAGCTGAATCTCTTTACCTTCCTAACTGAAAACTGTGAAAAGACTGTTCACATTTATGCTCGACTATAGAAATATTGGACAAAAAACCAATAACAACACATTATTGTCAGGTGTTGCAGAGACTATAGATTTGAGTATTCTATTCAATTCAGTTCAATGTATACTTGTATAGCCCTAAATCACAACAGTAGTTATCCCGGAGGACTTCACAAAACCGCTGAATTCACCGACACAGATCAGAGAATCAAACAAAAGAAACAAAAGAAACGCAATAATAAAAAAAATACAGAGAGCCATTGGTCCATAAGGGGCAGATGACCAATGTCCATAAATGTTGTCAAATGTTGATGAATTTTGAGTGTCCTGGATCATCACCACTGTCCTTAGACCCTCCTGTATCTGCAAGGAAGGGATCCGCTCCCAAGGACGGGCAGGCTGTAGATCTAGGACTCATTTGATTAAATTCTGTAATTGTAAATTGTTATACACATGTTTGCACAATCAAGCCCCTGCTGTCCTGGGTGCTCTCACAGTTCCTCCCGTGAAAATCTCTTTTTTGTATTATGGGAAACCTGGATTGTTGCATGTGATTCTGTTTTTAGAAACATCAGAATATAGAAGAATAATTTCTTTGTACATAAGATGATTCAACAACATTTCTGTCTCATTTTCAGCTCTTGCAAATGCACATGGCTTAATCAGAATGTAGGTCAGAATGCACGGGATTTAGTAGAACCACATTTTCTTGGTCAATTATAACTTCATCAGGATTATTAGAATTTATCTGAATCAGAGTTGAAACTAGGTGTTGAGGGTATGAGCTACGCAGGGCTGAATCATAACATTCTTCTAATTTTTGTACAACCACTGAGTAGCTGTGGAAAAAATTACCAGCATGGCAATTCATATCAGCATATATATATATTACTATCAATGTGTTAATACTGTGCAGGGCCTAAGTTTTCACACATTCTGTTTGATGATTTAAAAGTATAACTTACTATTCACAGCATTCATTTTACATTGACATATCTATTTATCTATATTTTATGCAGAATATTATTTACAATGACACAGTCTTCCTAAGATTAGATTCCATGATTAAGTTTTTCCATTTGACGGTCCTTATTTTGCCCATTATCACCAAAAGTATGTTTTATCTAACTTTTAGGATCAACCTAGCCTGGCCTTAGCCATCCATACACTCCGGTCAACCATAATTTCGCTGCATGTAGCGTCTGGGTCTGATCCGACCAATCAGCGAGCGCGGGAGGCAGGTGTTGTAGTTAGATGACGTCAAGAGTTTTCGCCGTACGGGCAGGTTGTGGTTTGGCAATAGCGAAGAATGCGATAGTAAAGTAATCCGGTCTGGTTCTATCAATAAATTGAAGCCGGAGCAAGCGGAATGTTCAGCAAATGTAATCGCTGGCAAAGATTGTGGCGTTACTCCCCACGGGCTCCGTTAGCGGCAAAGGAGATGGCTAGGCTAAATGCTAATAGGTGCACTACATACGTGACGATTGGATCTGAGTTTACCGTGACGATAAACTGAGCTAAAACGCCTAGCTAAGAGTTTATAGGATAAGATAGGAGCTTTTTCAGAGGACTCTCAGAATCTTTAGGCATACGGCCCCAGATTGTGTTACTCAATGAATTTAATTGATCATGGGATTTTGTTTTTTACAGTTCATAGTGTTTTCTGAATTTTTAGATAACAAAATGGGATATTTTTCAAGAAAAAGGGATATTACCATTTTGTAATTTGTAAATCAATAATACTATAATAAAGATCCTGTTGTGACGCACAGAGTTTGAGCTCTGGCCTGCAGTCTTAAACAGACTGTGACAAGCGCCCAAGGGTGTCAGGTCATTAAACAAAGGTCACAGCATCATCTCACCGTATGAGAGCCCCACCACAAAACACCAGCCTGCTCCCACTACAGCAACACTCCACATCCTGGAGGAGCCAGAGTCACCGCACCCCCCACTCTCCATGCTGTCATCACCAGTTCAATCTGGAGAGACTCAAACAGACGAAAGGGTTTGTTTGATCTGTTTCTGCATGAATTAGCAGATAAACTCTGCAGACACACAGACAGACAGATATACGCTAGACTGACGATCATTGAATGCCGTACCTGAAATGGTTTTGATTCAGCGTTTAGACCCCGGCGGAGAACTCCATGACAAAGGCGGAAAGCGGAAATTAAAATTGCGATGATGAGATGAAATCCTTCAGAGCCTAGACCTTGATGGTGGGACTCGTGCAGAACAGCAGCAGGGGGAGGAGGAGAGTGAGGACACACATTGTTATTCTTCCAGTCTGAACCTTGCTTTCGCTTCATGTGATAAAGAGAGGATTACTTGAATAAATAATGGACGCACAACAGTTATGACACAATGATGCCAACATTCCAACATGTTCTATATCGGACCCTATGACCATTGATCCAAGTGAACACAACACATTTCCACAGTTATTGACACAGTAATGAACAGCTTATCTCCAGACCTAGCAGCACGTGTGTCACCTTATTCTGGCTCTCATATGATAATGGGCACAGGTCACACAAGGCTTACAGTGCCTCCTGGTGGTCAAATGAAGTTGGCAGTGAGTGCTATCTAGATTTCAATGAGTCTGATTCTTTTGGTGCACTGTCACTGTCAAGACCTGGAGCCCATCCTCCTTAAAGCCTGATAAAGGCAGAGACATCCTATTTTTTTAAAGTTAAGCCTGAGGAATGTACGTGGATGTAAGTAAGTCATTTTTGTTTATAGAGCACATTTTACAGATCAAGGTCATTCAAAGTGCTTACGATGTGCATGGTTCAGATATTGTTCCATTCAATCCACAGACGTCAAACACACTGGCACATCAAACCAACCAACATAATCCATTCATTCACTCATTACATTCATACCGAATCTACAGGTTTTTAGCGGAAGGGGAAACCGGAACATTCGGAGGAAGCCGGAGCAGACACAGGGAGAACACGCAAACTCAACTCAAAGACCTTGTTCTGACCAGAATGAAAACCCAGGACCTTCTTACTGAGAAGCGAGAGTGCTTTCCACTCAGCTCCTGTGTAAGTATTCTCTCCTTCAGAAATCCTTTGCACCACATCAAATCCTCCATTCCATCTTAAATCCACATTTTCCATCCCTTCCTTATAAATATTTGATTTGGATCATTGATAATGCCAGGTTAGCACAGTGTTACCAGTTGAAGCTTCTCCACCATCTTGGCCTTTTAAAAAATATAAGTAGCATCCACATTTATCACACTGTGTCATTACATGTCACCCCATCTATGTTGACAGCCTGACGGATGGCCTATATGTGCGGTGTTCACAAAACCAGGTCGGCGGAAAAAAATCTGCGCATTGAAAAGATGCCTTTTTATTAAAACAATGAAAAAGAGATACAAAAGATAAAATATTGACTTAGAGTTTTTAAAATTGGGCAACAATGGAATGTAACAAAGAGTATTCATAAGGTACATAAAGGTTAGAAAAGTAACAGTGCAAGACATGCCAAATCATTATCTAAAGGTCAATGGAGAATAATCAAATATTTATTCCTCGTATGGATCTGTTTAGCAGCCGGTGCAGGCGGCGAAGGCACAGATCTCACACACATCCATGGGAACCAGCGCTGGAGGAGAGAGAAAGGGAACACTGTTAAAGACAAGATAATACTACTTGATCACTATCATTTTATTTGATCTATAAAGATAATAAATGACCGTAAGATTATATTAATTTATGAAGATTTCCCAACTGTCGCTCTGCCATAAGGAAATGAGACAGTGACTAATTACAATACCTACTAACTGAAACTGTTAACTGTCTGTCCGTAACAAGCCACAGATATGATGAACAAAAATCTGTTCCGGGCACAAATCCCACTTAATGTTTGCCATTAAAAAAACATAACCTTGGCTTCTGTGTTACTTCTGTCAGGGGTGTCAGACTCATTTTAGTCGGGATAGAAGGGATTTCATTTTCTTATACCAGTCTCTGTTTTTTTACATTATAGAGGCATTTTGACTTTTATGTGACTGTTTTCTGTTTGATTGTATTTATATTTAACCAAAACTGGACCAAATATTAAGTTCAACGCATTGTTTTATATTTGACTATTTAAATTCTAAGAATGTGTTGGGTTAACATTTTAGGATGATATATATTTGGTTATGTTCCTGAGAAAATACATGACATGCATCATTAGCCCTTAACCATCAATGCTGCAAATATAATATATATAATAAATATAATAATAATTGGAAATATTTTTTAGGGTCCACTAGAAATTGCGAGCCAGATTTGGTCCATGAGTCTGAGTTTTGCATGCCTGAATTATTTCAAATAACCTGACCAGTACAATTATTTATGAATAATTTCACATGTTGAATATTCTTCCTCCCAATCCCACCACACTCTTGCACATGCTCTATGAACCTGCATCAGTCTTACCCAGTCGGGCCAGAGATGCAGACGCTCCTCTCTGTCTGCACAGCGGCAAGAACTCCTGGGGCAACATGGGGTCCGAGCACAAGAAAGCATTGAACCTGATGCGTGGGTTCTGTTTGGTGGCCAGCATGTTGTTTTCTGTGAGCTCCTGAAGTCTCTGCACGGCCTCCAGGGAGAAGGACATGCCGCCCTCCTGAGAGATAAAAGACAGATTAAGAAACTTACAGAGAAACAAATGATGAGGTTTCTCTTTTGAGTATATGCAGTATGAACTATACACTGCAAAATGTATGAAATATAATCCTAAATGGCTTAGATTTGCCAAAATGTGTCATAATTTGAGCACATTTTGCCCACCTAAGACCAAGATGTGGGACTGGAAAAATCTGAATTTGAGAATGTACTAATTAACAAACAAACCATCATATCATTTATATTCAAGTAGTTATTTTCTGTTTGTTTGGAAAGAATGTACATTGTAGGTTTTTCAGGTTGATAGAGAAATCAATATCTCAGATTGACGGAATACATAATAGCGAGAATAATCAAATAGAAAATAACCTTGTAAAACCTGTGGAAAACAATCTTTGAATAAATGTTTGCTTGTGAGTCCTTGGTACGTATAGATTGCCTTTTGGGGGTTGGTTTTGTTAGGATAGTGTGTTGCGCCATCAGGCAAAACAGAAATCGTGCAGGTATTGTACTTATTAGATTAGGATTTTAACTAGTAGATGGTTAGATGGATTTATTTAGTAACTTAGAGATGGTGGTTCTATTTATTTTTGTCAGAAAAAGCTGTGACTGAGGCCAAAAAAATACATGAATGTGAAAGCTAGTAATAGATCTGGTGTGAAAGTTTGGTACCGAAGCTTTGATCAAAATTAGGCTTATGTCACGAGAAGCTAAAACATGTCATTCTTTGCAGAAGAAGAACGTGGCACATGGAGGAAAAGACCATTTATGGATAATTTATGGATATTTTATGGACTTTATCAACATTTATGGACACTGGTCACATGCCCCTTACAGACCAATGGCTCTATGTTTTTTTCATCATTACATTTCTTGTCTTTGCTTGATTCTCTGATCTGCGTTGGCAAATTTGACTGGGTTAGGGCAATCAAGAAATAAATTGAATTGAATTTAAATATCGGTTTGCCCAAAAGTTTGATCTACAACCAATTCAAAACACTATAGCCTCTCATGTCTGCTTCACAGCAAACAAAACAAAGTTATTATATTATGCTGAATTAATTACCTCCACTTCTACAGCTTCGGAGGTCCAGCCAAGTCCGAGTACGAGGAAAGCAACAGCGATCAAAGCAGTCTTCATGATTGTTTTTAGTATTTCTTTGGTGTTTTTGTTGGTTTGTCTTTGCCGGTTTGGAGCCAAGTGTCTGCTCTGCCTCTCGTCCATCACTCTTTTAAAGCGTTTAGTCCGCCACACCCGCTGCCACGTGACCAGGTGATATTCACGCAAGAGCAAAGTTTTTCTCATGGGTTAATGATTAGGGACAATTATTTGCACAGTAGTTAAGATATTCATAAATTATTCTAAGACTAAATCTCCTTTCATGATATATTGACCCTCCGCCACGTCAAACAAGACAAGTGAATACGATGGAAGGAAATGCAGGATGATGTATTGAACTGACAAAATGTCTGTGGTCCCTGTAATAATATTTCATGTGGATGTATGTATTGATGTCCAGGACGCATTGTTTATGATTAGAAAAAAAATAAAAAATAAACCCTGACATGTTTTCTTATTGATTAAATTACTACTAATTCAAATTATTATCTAGTTTCAATATATCTGTACTATTGTATGGACTTGTTATCATTTTATTGATCTTTTCAACAGAATCCAACAGAGAGAGTATTGTTAAAGTTAAATGTTGACTATTTTGATCACAAATATAATACAATACATAATATTCTTGTATAGCCCTAAATCACAACAGAAGTCATCTCAGAGGACTAAACAAAACCATTGAAATCACCAACACAGATTAGAGAATCAACAGTTAAAACACAAAAATGTAGAACACATCTGTATTGAATATTGGGAGACCATGAATGTTGTAGAATGTTGAAGTGTCCAGGATCATCACCACAGTCTGTTGGACACTAACTGTCCAACAGAACCTCCTGCATCGGCAAGGGAAAACTCAAAAAAACCCAATAAGTAGGAAACCTTGGGAAGATCCACATTGAGAGAGGAATCCACTCCCACAGACAAAATGTCCTATTTCAATGAGAACACATGTTATCTTGAGCATACAGTATGTGTAAGAACGAGCCCTGTGAGCCACTATTTGACTCTTGGGGTTGATTTGCTGGATGAGGGTCTGATCTAAAGATTTGAAATAGGCAAAAATACCCACATTTTGAAACTAGTGAAAATGTTGTGAGAAATTATTGACACAGATTAAAATTATTTTCTCGTGATTGGAAAATCAGGTTCTCAGGCTCAAACTGAATTCAGGACAAACGCCCACAACAACTGACATGGAAGAGCAAGACATGCCCTTTATTATTTGGAAAAGTAAAAGAAGCACGGCAAGGCAAGTTTATTGTTTTTAACACAGATCATGCACAAGGTAACACAAGACAAGAGAGACATAACATTACATTGAACACTTCATAACTTGTCCCCCCCGCCCTTTTTAAGTCACTTTACTGCCCTTTAAAAGGTCACTTTAAGATAAGATAAGATAAGATAAACCTTTATTAGTCTCACAGTGGAGAAATTTCAGTGTCATCGTTGCACACATTACAGCAGAGAAAGGAAATAAGAGCACTCAGATTGCACACATCAAAGTCTATTATTTAAGATAATAGACAATAAATTTAAGATAAAACAAAATAAAATAAAATAAGAAACTCTGGGCTATAATTGCACTTGGTTCGGAGTATTTACAGATGTCTATATTATACATTAGCAGCAGAGAATATAAGAATATGAATATGAGCAGAATAAACATCAGAAATAATATCAACAGGTAAAGTGACTTGAATGGGAGAATGATCAGATGGATATGAATAATACAGTAAGATATCAACAGGTAAAGTGACGGTGAAAGGCAGAATTATCAGATATGAAATAATACAGTAGTACTGATAACAGTAAATATCAGATATGTAGTATTGTAGTAGTACTGATAACAGGTAAAGTGACTAGTGGCAAAGTTACTAGTGAATTATCAGAAACACTTGTGTAGACTCAGCAGTTCCTGTTACACATTCTCGTTGTACAGTCTGACAGCAGCAGGAAGGAAAGACCTGCGAAACCTCTCCTTCACACATCGAGGGTGAATTAGTCTGTCACTGAAGCTGCTCTCCAGAGCAGAGAGAGTGCCCTTTATAAAGTTACTTAACTGCCCTTTATAAAGTCACTTTACTGCCCTTTATAAAGTAACTTAACTGCCCTTTATAAAGTAACGTTAGTGCAGAGTCACTTAACTGCCCTTTATAAAGTAACGTTAGTGCAGAGTCACTTAACTGCCCTTTATAAAGTAACGTTAGTGCAGAGTCACTTAACTGCCCTTTATAAAGTAACGTTAGTGCAGAGTCACTTAACTGCCCTTTATAAAGTAACGTTAGTGCAGAGTCACTTAACTGCCCTTTATAAAGTAACGTTAGTGCAGAGTCACTTAACTGCCCTTTATAAAGTAACGTTAGTGCAGAGTCACTTAACTGCCCTTTATAAAGTAACGTTAGTGCAGAGTCACTTAACTGCCCTTTATAAAGTAACGTTAGTGCAGAGTCACTTAACTGCCCTTTATAAAGTAACGTTAGTGCAGAGTCACTTAACTGCCCTTTATAAAGTAACGTTAGTGCAGAGTCACTTAACTGCCCTTTATAAAGTAACGTTAGTGCAGAGTCACTTAACTGCCCTTTATAAAGTAACGTTAGTGCAAAGTCACTTTGCTGCCCTTTATAAAGTCACTTTTTTACACCTTAGAAGTGAATGCTGATTTTTATTGTGCCTTTCTCTATTCTTTACCTCTTTTCTTTGACAGTTGCACCGAGAGCCAAAGCAATTTCCTAGTCTGTGACTTCCTGTCACTTACATGGCAATAAAAATGATTATGATTCTAAAGAGGAAAAAATATTACTCAAAATGCATGAGAAGAGATTCAGCCTAACCCCATCCCTGATATTCAGTTGGGTCCGGAGTAAATTAAAGCTGCACTAACTGACTTTGGGATTTTGAAGCCACGGACTCGCTGGCCTCGCTCTTTCTGCTCCCCTCCCCGCACCCAGGAAGCTATCGCCCCACACACACACACACACTGTTGACGGAGCTAGCGTCTCCCAATATGGATAATACATGACCATAGAACGATAGAACCAGGAAGCGCGGAGGAAGGGGACAATCTTTTGGATGGCTGTTTCGCTGAGTAAGCAGTAACGAGGTGACGAAGACGAGAAAGTTTCAGGTTAGCTCCTCCGCTTGTTGTGCTAACTCAGCCGTCTGTGCTAACGGACCTGTAGATTTCTCACGAAAGTGGGGGCCAGTGGTCCGCTGTGATTGGTCACAATCAGAGACCTGAAACACATCTCTTCCTTGTTTCATCAAAACTCGATCTAAAATATAATGTCACGCCAGCACAAATCTGCGCTACTTTTTCCTCAAAAGGACGTATATTCCAATGCACTGCATGGACATGGATAGCATTTTCGTTATGAATACAAAAATAAAGTCAGTTATAACATCAAGGTTATCTGTACAGTTACAATGAATTTTGAAGCACTTTGAGAGTTACTACTGTACTTGAACAAATTTGCTTTAAGATCTCTGTGGACTTCCAATGAGTCACATCTCACATAGCCTTTGTCACACAGTTCACAGACAGTTGTAGGGCAGGCCCTTTGTATTGGATGTCTGTTATGCAAGCCCACATCCGCTCTGAGCCCATAGGTCAGACATGTTAAAGGTTTCATTATGAAGATGGATCAAACATTATTAAGGCCAACCACAGACACATTAGAAGCAGCAGGAATCAGAGTTGTGACCTTTTCTCCATGACCTGTCTGGTTCTGATGTAGTCACCAGAGCAAATCAATTCATTTCGTTTGAGTGGCAGCCGGCAAGTGTCCGCTGGAATAATGCCCCAGATTTGCCTAATGAGTTTTCTAATAAGCTCATTATAAATCTTTTGCTGAGAAAATTCATGACAAGGTTGTAAAACTCATCCAATATGAGCCAATATTCAAAGTGAAAAGCCCTTTTGAAGCAATATCAACGATTCCCCTCCGTCATTGATCTCCTTTATCTTTATCAACTGTCACAGCATTATAGTCATCGAATCAGACTTGGGCAAAGTGCGGCCCGGGTGCCACATCCGGCCCGATTCATGTTCATATGCAGCCCCTGGACCCTTCCGTTAACCTCAAACCAGTCTATTAATTATTTAAATGAATCAAGAGTCAATACTCTTGATTGACTCTTAACTCTTGTAGGCTTCCACTGCAAAATGTGATGAAAAGTAATTCAAACATTTCTAAAATTTGGCTAAATGTATGTGAATTTGAGCAAATACAGAACTAATCTGGTTTTCTGGTTTTAGGACAGTCAGAATGTACTCAGTCAGAATGTGCCTCATATTTTATAATTTCTTGCAGTGTGTAACGTACAGTGTGCTACCATGTTATATATATACTGTATATATATATATATATATATATATATATATATATATATATATATATATATATATATATATATATATATATATATATATATATATATATATATATATATATATATATATATATATATATATATATATATATATATAAAATCAGTGCAATATCTCATGGTGGCCCCTGGAAGAAAATAATTGCCCACACCTGCTTTAAAAAGAAATTTGAAATGTAACACATGGCTTTACTTCAGAACCTTTTCCAGCATTTTAAGGGTCCATTTTAAAGAGGACTGTTCCAGATATAGATGTTAAACCTCTCAAATATGATACATTGTGATAATAATTGCAGGAATCTATTGGTTTTTTTTTTATCTTAATTTGAGTACATTCCGACCATCTTAAAACAAGATTCTCCAAAGGGACAAAGCCATTTAGTCTTGTTTCAAGAACTGTTTCTTTATTTTCTCATTCCAAGGGAGACCGGTCTTGTATCTTAAAAAAAAAAAACTATACATTTTCTTGTCTTCTTGGTTTTAGGCAGTCAAAATGGGCTCGAATTAAGATCCATTTGGCCAAATCTGAGCTTTTTTTTCTTTTTACCGATAAGAGAAGTAAGTGAAAGAGAAATTGAAACCTAAATATAGCATTACTTCAACTCAATTGAGCAACAATTGCTCAAATTTGGCACATTCTGACTGCTTTGGAAAAGAAGCAAAATTATCTTGTTTTAAAAAGAAACAAGAAATGTCTCCCTTGGAATGAG